TTTCCCTAGTTGTTGTTTTACCTCTATTTTTTCAACTTTTCCAATAATAAAATAATATATAACTACGTAAATTCAAACATTTCACTTAAAGTATCTAATTATTTCACAAATCAAAAGTCCTAAAGATTTTTTTTTTTACAAACATGTAATTTATTATCTTTAAAATTTATGATTACAAACTCAAAATAAATAAATATATATATATATATATATATATGTATATATATATTATATATATGTGTGTGTATGTTTAGATATGTGAGTGTGTGGGGGGAGGTCAAGAGTCATTGATACTATGATGTCAAATTAGTAAAATGACACTTTCAATAATTTTTATTGAATACAAATTCATCCGATCCAATCGTTGTAAGTCATGATATTACATTTATGATCATGTGTAGCAACCTAAGTTGCTACAAACTAATAGAAATAAATTAAAAACATATGAAGTTGCCACTAATATTTATTTAAGAAAAAAATATTAGAAAAACCACATAAAAATTGGTCTACAAAAATAGATTTGAGATCAAAGTCAATTACGTGCAAGAATGGTATTAGCATCCTACAACACTTATGGTAAAGAAAGTTACCTCTAATTAATTAAGCAAATTATTTATAACTTTTAAAATATGTATCTCACACAATTAACTATGACAATCAAATATATCTTATTTAACATGTGTGTTTATTTTAATTTAATAAAAACTAAAATTAATATTATAATTGTTATATAACAAAGTGTCAATATTATTTTTATTTTTTAGTTCGACAGGAATAATTTTCTGGTTCTATGTATCTCTTTGTGTAATGAAAAATAAGAGTCAAGTAGTTTTTTTTATAAAAAATGTTTCTTAACCTATCGGTACCCGAGCCTGGCCGATAGTTGATCTAAAAACCCTACATATAAAATGTATTATTATTCAGTTCGTAACCTAGCGCTGCTCAAACACATTCTTCTCATTTTCTCAAAACCCTAGTTCTAGGAAGACCAGGTTCGTTTGCTCGTCTCCTTCTTCTTTGTATACCTAGCACAATGGGAGATTAAGTTCTCAAACATCCAAATCTAAAACCACGTCTCCTTCCATTCCCAAACGACCAAATCCAAAATCACATCTCCTTCCATTTCATAATCATAGCGAAGTGGGAGATTTGGTTCCCAACATAAAACTCCACTTCTCCAAGGTTGAGCTTTGAGGTTGTGACTGTTTGGTTTGACCACGAGGTGTTGGGTGTTGTGAATGGTTTGAGCCCATGGTTGAAGGTCACAACTATTTGGGTTGAGTTTGAGGTTGGAGGTAAAAACACAATAAGGTGAAATCATCATATTATGTAAGCATACATTTGACTATATGAGTCTTTATATTTGTTATTGTCCTTTTAAAGTTTGCATGTGGTTAATTTTTATTGTAAGTGCATTATAAAGACAAACTACTTTTTCTTTTTTGGAAATATATATTATGTGATTTTAGACTTTGACAGAGAAATTAGTGGTGAACTACCCACTAATGTTGAGATAATGTGCCTAATATCTTTGTTTTGAGATCCTTTTTGTAACATCCCATTTCATTAATATAATATAAGTACTTTATTAATAATTTTTTATATTTTTATTTTATTAGTAAGGGTTGTTAAATATTTGTTTTAATTATTTAATGCATTTTGCAATATAATATATATTTTGATTTTATTAAAGATTATTGTAATATTTATTAAAAGGGAAGGAAATTTGTAATTCTGGTTAAGTGTTTTAATTAAAAGAAGGTTAAGGTTTTTAAGAAAATAGTTTTCTGATCAAACCCTCTTACGCCTCTATTTCCACGTTCTCTGACGCTTAGGTGCTCTAAAGAGAACGCATATGAAGAGTAAGGAGAAGGAATCATCGGAGTGGAACGAGAGGCATAAATTTGATACCTTGCATCACTCTAGTAAGGTAGAGTGAGAACACTCAATTTTATGTGCATTTGATGTGATTTATCGAGTAGATTCCAAATATGTATTTTGATTGATGATCAAATGTCTTTAGAGTAATTAATTGATTTCTTTGTTGAAAGGGATTAGAACCCTAGAAGGGTTGGCCCTAATGCCATAGGTTTTCTGTTTGATGAATTGTAATGCGCGTTAGATGTGATTTATTGAGTAGATTCTGAATATGTATTTTGTTTGATGAACAAATGTTTTAGAGTAATTAATTGAGTGTTTTGTAGAAAAGGGTTAGAATCCTAGAAGGATTGGCCCCAATCCCATAAGTTTTATGTTTGATGAATTATTATATGCATTTGATGTGATTTATCGAGTAGGTTTCGAATATGTATTTTATTTGATGATCATATGTTCTTAGAGTAATTAATTGAGTGCTCTGTAGAAAGATGTTAGAACCCTAAGAGGGGAATTTGATGAATTTAAGGGATAAGAGTTGTAGACACTGAAATTGGTTAATTTCCTATAAGTAAAATGAGTTTTAAGTATTTATAATTTGTATGATTAATTTGGGTGATGTTTGCTTCAAGATTTTATTTTGTAATTGATGTGTTTGGGTGCTGGAATGCACGTGGCGCCTGACTCAGGTGCTAGATGCTAGGCGTGGAAATGTCCATGCTGGGCGCAAGAGGTTTTGGTTGCTCCCTGCCTCGGGTTAAAGCTAGGTGTGACTTTGGGTAGCTAGGCATGAGAAAGGCTGGGTGTTCTCTACCTTGGCTAAAAGCCAAGCATGGGTTTCCAAGCCTGGCTTGGATTGTCAAGAGGCTCTCTTTGATGTTTTAAATGATGTCATTGTGATGTCCATGATTGATTATATGATGATGAATATGTGTATACATATATACATACATACATATATATATATATATATATATGTATATATATATGTGTGTGTGTGTATGTGTGTGTGTGTGTGCTAGATGAATGATAATTTCTATCTTGATGTGGATGAGTATAGATGTTGATGAATGATAGATGATAATTGATGTGGATGAGTATAGGTGTTGATGAATGATGGATGATATGATGATCACAATGAAGTTATATAGATACATTTGCATGATTGTGACATGCATCATTCTTGCATGATTCTGTAGTTTTGGTGGTAACCTGTTGGTGTTCTGGTGGAACACTTTTGTGTTAGTAGCCTAGGGTTAACTGAGGACTTAGGTACCAACTGTATATTCTTGATGATGATGGTTAGGTACCCCATATATTTAGAAGTAAGAGCACATCGCATTGCATTTCTCTATGTGTGTTGATGGATGGAATTGATGTTATCTATAATTGAAGTTGAAATGTGAATTATGATTATTATAGTTTGAAATGGTGATTACTATGGTTTGAAGTAGGAGTTGAGTGGTTGTTATTATAGTTTGAAATGGTGATTACTATGGTTTGAAGTAGGAGTTGAGTGGTTGTTATTATATTTTGAAGTATTAATTGTTGTTATTATATTTGTTTATCGTGAAGGGATGAGATGCCGAGGGTTGCGGCCCATTCCCTATATAGTGAGATTATTCTCACTCCCTATTTTTTTTTGGTGTGTCTTTCGTATGTTTTGCATATGAGAATCTTCAATCTTGGGAGTAGCAGGGAGAGGTCTAGGTGTGTGCAGAACTTTGATGCAAATGTGACACTGGGAAT